GCTGCCCCGGCGTCCTCGCCCCTAATAATATATACAGTTAACTCAACAAATTACATGCTGTTATAGTCAGTTTTGCAAGAAATGTAGAAAATTTTACCATCACAGGAACATATCATTCCCATCACAGGAAATATATCTCACAATTCTCCATATTTTTGCTGAACTCTCAGATTTCCCTCAATTTTTCCTACATTTTTGTCTTTTCGATAAATCTCAGTTATTTTTACCAATAAATATAAAAACATACGGTTCTCTTTGTCGTGCGTCTCTGACATCTTTTTCTTCCTCGTCACCACTCTCTTCTCCGCTTGATAAATCTTCTTTACCTTGCGCATAAGCTGGTCTGAAAAAAAAGAGCATATATTAGCTTAGAGGCAACAATCCAATTTAACGAATTAGTACAGGGCTTGGTATGTCGTCTCAGGGCGGAATCGCTAGGAAACACTAGGCCACGCAAGAATCTCTACTTGCCCTAACACTAGGCCATGCTCACCAGTACCGGCACAGACTGTCGACGCAGTAGAGGCACAAGCTCATTACAAAAGTGAGAAAGAAAAAGAATTTTACTTGCGCAAAATCATCAAAGATCGACATATGTACATGCTAGGAGGGCTTGATAAACAAGAGGAGGTAAATCTTTTGCTGGCTTACTCAGTGCCAAGCTTATTTCACCCTGGCATGCTTCAGTACCAGTTTACCATCGAAACGAATGAACGAATCGTTGATGGGTCGAGGAGCCAAATCTTGGCCTCCAGCACCAGGCCTGCCACTGCATCAGACCAGTTAGTGTACTTGCTAGTTTTCATTTGGTATTTCTCACATAAAGTTATTTAATCCACAAATCCTACCACTGTTTCCAATTCCTTCAGCTTGTTACTGCGCCACAGCGGTTGGCCTTTTCTCAAAAAACTAGGGAAAATTCTACGAAAAAATGATGAGTAAAATAAAAAGTGGGGAAGAAATTCAATAAATTTTAAATAGAAATACGAGACAAGAGAGCGGAAACTTACACTTTTCCAGCCATATATCGTACCACTTTAACTTTTTGCATTGTAATTTCGCCCTTTT